TTTAAGAGAAACTGCCCCAAGAAAGCGATAGCTGATAATACCGGAAGAGTCCTAGCCATGGGACGGGAGGAGGCAATCGCTGATCCCACCGTTGTTTTGGATACGTTCCTTCTCGACAACTCTTATGCTAGTATTCTTTTTGATTCGGGTGCTGAAAGAAGTTTTGTTAGTCATTTGTTCAAACATAACCTTAAACATAATCCCCAATCATTAACCGAAACGTTTACCGTCGAGATGGCTAATGGCGATAAAGAAAGTGCTCGCGATATATTCATAGGCTGCACCCTTACTCTGAACGATCATTCATTTCCCATCGATCTTATGCCAGTCTCCATAAAGAGCTTTGACGTTATCATTGGCATGGATTGGTTGAGTCCCAATCATGCTGATATCCTTTGCTACGAGAAAGCCATCCGTCTCAATCTTCCTGCGAGACAAACTCTAATGATTTATGGCGATAAGCTTAGCTCCAATCTTCGTATCATTTCCTACATACAATAGAGTAGCACTAATGCCTGCTCATAAACCTATACTACGAAGACGTGTGAGTAGTAATGAGTCCTACTCATGATGATCCTTCCCTGATGGAGCTTGGGGATGATGTCGATGCGCCTTGTAGTTCTGCTAATCTCCATTCGGTTGCAACCATTCTCTCCTCAAGCGCCATGTATCTTTCCTGATACTCCCTTGCTTCTGCTCGAGTAGCGAGAAGGTCCTGAATGAGTTAATCTATGTAGTGGGAGTCTTGTTCTAGGTCTCTGGTGCGAGAAGTGGTAGACTCTATGATGGAACTTAGTTCCCGAACCTGATCGGTCGTCATCCTACCGCGATCATCCATAATCGCTATCTGTCGAGTCATGATTGGGAGGGCTCTATCGGCTGGTCCTCCGTGGCTGAGGTCATAGTACCCTCGTTAACCTCCGTATGGTGATCGTTGTCGTTGAAGGCGACCCCATCCCTTAATTTTGTGGTCACCCATCGAGGTACGAGTCCGAAGAAGTCGTATCGGTTGGCGGGAACTCTGGCTATATAGGGAGGATTGATGACCTCTGGTTCGTCTTCACTTTTGTCTTCATCCATGTCTACCTCGACATCTTCTTCTTCTTCTTCTTCTTCTTCTTCTTCTGCTTCCTTTTCTTCTTCTTCCTCTGGTTCTTCCTCGGGTTCCTCTTCGGGGTTCTTCTCTGGGATCCTCTTCGGGTTCTTCTTCGGGATTCTCTTCAGGTTCCTCTTTGGGATATTCCTCGATTGGTTCTTCGGAATCTTCTTCAATCCACCCGGCATTTCCCTGATTGGGAAAGTATGGGTCTCCTGGTAGATGAAATCCCGCCATGTCGTTTGTGCGAGAATATGGGTGTAAGTAGCATGTAACGGTTAATAATAATAATATTGTGCTATAGCAACATTCAACTACTCCTATAGTATTTTAAATGTTTAGATTTGGTTCTTAGATCGTTCTTTGTAGGGTGAAGTTAGGTTATTAGATTTGTTGCCCACTACGACTATCCCCTAGTATGTATAAGTCACTTCTCGGATAGATATAGTTGATCATGCTATATCCCTCCCAGACTCGATTCACATATACTAAGGCATACCCATAGTGTACAACTCCTCTTCTTTTACTTTATGTTCTCCTAGTTATGACACTACCCGAGTATGTAATGCATATATGTATACTTTAAACGAGAAAACTATTTATTTTCTAAAAGTATATCCCATTAAAATGTTTTAAAATTAGAGACTTTTAGTCCCAAATGTCTTTATAGTTTGTATATCTTATGTGGTTTGATATACTTAATTCACTATAAACTATGCTCTGATACCAATCTATCACACCCCCAAACCAAGGATGGCTGAAACGTCCGGGGGTGGAGGACTTCATGTATAGTATCATAACCACAATTGCAATAGTAATTCAAGCACACACAACCAAGATATATATATATATATATATATAATATATATATATATATATATATATATATATATATATATATATAAAATTGAAAGAGTTACATCATTGTACGAATTACATGTTTCCGAATCAATTACAATATGTTGACAAAAATGTGAACTGTTTGACACCTTAACGTCTCATCCTCAAAATGCACTTGGTTACCTATTTAGTGATTTCCTGAGAATACAAGTTGTTTGAAAAAGTGTCAACATAAAGGTTGGTGAGTTCATAAGCTTTTTTTTAATTGATAAAAGCCTTTCTCTTGTAAATGTAGTTTTTGTTCCAGAAAAATCCGATATTTTCCTTAAAATGTGTAATGTAGCCTTATATCCAGAGACCGAAATGTATAAGTAACCTTTCTTACTTATAGTAAATAATGCAAGTTTAAATCGACATAAACTCTTTTAATTTCAATGAAATTACCATAAATTCCTATGTTTGTTATTACTTTCTTTGAGTTATTTTAACCATGCTATGACCTAGTTGGCCTGAAACGACGTTCTTCAAGCGTCGGAAATGTTATGACATTTGTCAACCCAGACCTGCCGGTCTAAATGTTGCATGTAGTTAAGGTGTGGGTTTGTCAAACCCAATATAGATCTATATACAACTATCACGCTCTCCCTCCAAAGAGTCTCTGGTTACAATACAGGACTTATTGGTAAATGTGAAGCGAATGTCTCACAAAGTCATTGACGAATTTACGTGCAATGTAGTGAAAATCCCTTTTGTATAAATGTACCCTTTTTGTATGAGTGTGTTATGTAATGCATCATAAACTATACCTATTATAGTTTATCAAAACAATGGTAGTAGTGGTAATGTACGTAAACTATACTTAACATAGTTTATTCAAATGTTTGTATGTAATGAATGTACTTTGATTATAACAATTTGTTATCTTCTATATATATATATATATATATATATATATATATATATATATATATATATATATATATATATATCCATTTATTAACTGATGCATGTTTATATACTAAGACAAAATATCATTTATTTCTAATAACATATATTCACATAAAGATATACACCGTGCTCGAAATGTTACAAGGTAAAATGAAATTGTTAGCATTTTTCTGTTATTAACATTTTCTATTACTGTTCTTAGAAAATTTATAGAAAATTCATAACACGTCCAAACCAGAATCCGTAAATTTTGGGAGTTTGGAAAATGATTCTAGTTTGTTCATAAATTTCCCACGATTTTTAGTGACCTCGAACTTAGGTGAAAGCGTCCATAAACACATACTAGTCCGGATTGGTTCCTTAAATGATAGGCAGTTTTGTAAAAATCACCATAAATTGTAGAAAAATCGTATGCAGATGTGCAAGTAACCATCTTAAAGATAAGAACTGGAGCTACTTCCACCTAAAACGGTTTTGAAAACGAAAATGTTTAAGGTGATCAAAATAGTCTGTAAAGGGAACCCAACTTTTCTGATGAAAGCTGTTAGTAGCATTAGTTGTGTTCTTGGTGATTTAACTTGTATTCCCCCCCCCCCCCCTCTTAAAACTTAAAAAGGCATGAAAATTTAGGGATATGAACTCAACTTGTGTTATTTCAGTTGATGAGTGTTGGATAAGAGAAGTGTTCAACTCAAGAACACTTGAAGAAGCCTTGAAGAATTTCGAGAATCTAACACCAAAGGGATGGGATTTGTGTGAGCAACCCATGATTGGAGTAGAATGAAGTGTAATAATCACAAGGAGGATGAATTATACTTACCAAGAGTGGAATAAAACTTGATGATCAGCCTTGAAATCCCGAAATTGAGAGAGAAAGTTTGAGAGAAAAGTTGTGTTTGGTCTTTGGCGGAAATGAGAGAAGTGTGTGAGAATGAGGAAAGAGAGAAAGTTGTTCTAGCTCAAAAACCTGGGATGGTTTTAAAAATGATAAGAAAGTACATTGACATGACCAAGGTATGGTGGGAGGAGTGGCTGACCATAGAGTGGGTGAGGGGGGGGTGGTTGCTTGTGCCATAAAGTAAAGCAAGGTCAACACTCCACCTTAATTACGCCAACCACTAAATCTTGGATAAGATTTGCATTAAAAATGTGATTAATTAAAACATATGGGTCTTAATATGTTAAAATAAAGTTTTGGGTGAAAATCCCCCATTAAAATAATTAAAAACGGGCTTAAAACTAAGTCATGGTTGAAAACCGGGTAAAAAGGTGGAAAATCCGAAGTCTGGCCGAAGTCTCAGTCTCAAAAGCCTAGAACCAGAGTGGCTGGGGCTGCTGGTGCGGATCCGAGGGAGAAGGGAGGCTGCGGTCCGAGCTGCTACCGTAGGCGGCTTCGTCCGAAGGAAGACCGAAGGCGAGGTGGTTGCGGGTTGACGGCTGCGGCTCCGGGGATCAGCTCGGTGGCTGCGGCTCTGGGCTTCGACTCGGTGGCTGCATCTGGATGGCTGCGGCTATCTAACTGCCTCCGTTCAGGCTGCTTCCGGTCCAAGAGGGTTCAGCCTCTAAGAGACTTCGACCCTAGGAATGGGTTTCAGGTCTTTTAGGTTATTTTCCCCGTTCTAGCCCCGTTTTAAGCGATTTTTGACCCGGTTAAGGGTCAGGATGACCCGAATGATTTCAAAAAGTTATGGCAACTTTTGAGAGAGATTTGGGAGATATTTGAAATAGATAGAGAGATAGAGTGAAAACGATTGAGGGAGGTTTCTTTTGTGACCTTTTTGAGCATGCGTCTTCGCAATGCAAGGTCCGTAAACCCCGTTAATCCATGTTTTAGTGTCCTACACACTCCCGATGAGTGTGCAATAATGTTTTATCTCTTTGGTTCATTGTTTAGCAAGATCAAGGCTAAGGAAAATTACACACACGAATTTTCCAAATGATGTTTTCTCATTAAAATAGCGAGTTGAACAGTAATTACATAACGTAAAACCTAATATACAAGGGTTAATTGAGTCTTCCGATTTGACTCATTGACTTTGTTTAACTTTGAATTGACCCGGAATTGACTATTGTCACATTTTGTCCATTAGAACTGCTAAAGTTGTATTGGTCCTCTTTATCCGTCATCGTAATTCTCGGGATCATCGGGCAAATTCATCCACATCTCTCTCACATTGATGGTCCCTATAAAAATATGATATGCAACAAAGTGTAGCAGGTCCATAGGGCTTAACTCAAATAATTCTAACTTCTCTAAACATTGAGGAACTATAGAGCCTTTAGTCAAATGTTGTAGAGCTTTTTGCATTTCAAATGCTAAATCGTCAGCATTTATAGAAGCCTTAGGTGAGGCACTGGAAGATCCATCAGGTGAAGCACTAGGGAGCTTTAGGAGTTGAGGGTTTAGCCTTTTTGTTGGGGTTACCGAAGGGTGAAGCACTAGGAGCTCTAGGAGTTGAGGGTGAAGCAGCAACATGTAGCGACTTAGGAAAAGGTTCACTGGTATAATGGTAAGTTCCATCATCATAATCATCATCATCATCATCATCATCATCATCATCATCATCATCATCATCATCATCTATTGCAAGAGAAGTGACGCCCGTAATCTTAAGTGGTGGAGCATGAAAAGTAGATGATCCAAATTCTGATGATGTTTGGGTTGAGTAACACTTGAAATTACCAATGTTTGTGTGGTGAAGACCTCAAGATAATTTTTTTAGATCTATGCACTTCGGAAAAACAAACATTTTGTGAGGATATATGTCAGTGTGTTGCAGACAAAAGTGATTATGCTGATCTGCAGCCAAATTCAAACAACCACAATGTCATTCTTGTCAAAATATTTTTTAGATTATCCTTGTATTATTTTTCTCAACAAACACCAGATCAATTCATGAATTAGAAGCTATAACTCCAACAAAATACAAAGTCTTCTCAAAACTATGATCTCAATAGTTATTGAAAAGAGTTAATAAGTACTCACACACTACTCATTGCCTCATCAATACATATGGTTTCAGATTGTATTTGAATGTTGAAGTTATTTACTTTAGTCAATACATAATACCATATAACCATATTTGTGATAAATTCAAATCTGTCAAGTTCATACTCTACTAGACAACTACCTTCCTTTTTTCTATCTTTATATACTAGTCTTCATCAATAAGTTTATGCAAAGATTCTATAGTTTTAAGAGCTGAACTCACTTTTGTTTTGCACATTCAATCTTACATGTATACCCTTAAACCCAAAATTACATGGACAATTAGGTTTCTTAGGTTTTGATTTACTACATTTGTTTTCTTTAATTTCACGTGAGTTTCATAAAAAATCAAAAACTTTGCTACATATGATTCTTAGGAATAGAATTTGTATTTTTCTTGGATGTGAATATTTTGTTTAAATTGTTGAAAAAACCAAATGCTTTCGGATTTGTATTTTGTAATAAGATTTTGATTTTTTTGTTAATTTTTTATAGTTAAGATTATTCCAAAGGTCAAATGTTACATTGTATATGAATAATTGCTATGATGTTTTTAATAATAACACATTATTTTACATTGTATATGAATAATTGCTATGATGTTTTTTACATTGTTGGAAGACATCTGAAAAAGAAAGACAAAATTTAGATTAGATAAGAATCCTTAATATAAAAGCCAAATGGAATATTAAGGTTAGGACCCAACATAATATTTTACAATTCGGAAGAGGGATGTCGTAATACAATTGCAAAATATTTGAAGGTAAGTAAATGACAATTTACCAATTTCCACCATGAAAAACGAAATTGATTATTAAGTTTTAAATGAATTGAAATTCCTTGATTCTTTTGAGATTATTTGAACTTTTTAATGGCATTTATCACCTAATCAATTTGTCGGTTAACTACACACGCTCTATTGATCTATGATAAACATCAATCTACCATTTGTCACCCTTGTTAGTCCAAGTTAGTGTGTCAGTTAACCACACGTTTTACTAACGACTTGGCAAGGTGCAAAGTGCAATTTCATGGAATAGCATTATTGTCACATTTTTCCTAAAGTAACTAAGATTGGAAATTTTATAAAAAAACATTTAGTTAGTTGATAATTATCATTACACATTTAATGAGAATTAATGTCATATCCTACCCGTTCGGCTAACAACCCTCCACCGATCAAGGAAGCGGTGGTGAGAGTGGACACCCATTCAATCGCTATTTTATAAGCAATTTTCTTATACCCCCTTATAGACGGACTTCGTGAATGTGGCCAACTAACGATAAACTGAATTGTCTTATATATATATATACATATATATATATATATATATACGTATTAACTCTTAATATTATAATAGTATAAGGGTTGAATTTTAAATTTTTAAAATTCTAAGGTTTGGAATTAAATGTTTCATAAGTAAGACTTTATAAATTCCAAAACTTGAGGGCAAGTTTTGTAACTCATCAAAACTTTTAGTTTCCATAACTTATGAGTTTAATGTTCATGAATGAGACTTTTCATATTTCATAACTTGAGGAAAAGTTATGAAACTCTCTTCAAGAACCATTTAGATCAATTATAACTTATTCAGTTATCTTATAATTTATTATTTACCAAGTTGATCTAATCCAACTCACATAGTAAGGCAATTAAAATCAAATAATACAAATAATCAACTTATTATCTTAAAATTTGATAATTGTCCTTTAATTAGATGAGGATAATCACTACCATATAAAAAAACGAATTTTACAATACAAAACAGTTTGTGGTAATGAACCTAATCCAATTCTGGCCAAAAGGCTCGAAAATCTGCAAGCAAAAGGTTCTACTCGTCGAGTTGCTAGTTTGTGAGTGAACTCATCAGGTTAGATCATTGGACTCGTCGAGGTCATCTGTCAGAGGCCAGAATGCGACTTTTTCATCTTTGAGAAACAACCATGCATCAATATAATAGAAAACCACCCCTGGCTCTGATACCACTGATGGGTTTTGAGCACTATAACATCCTTATGGTGCACATACAACCCTAATGCTTTGGATCTAAATTTTCTCTAGCTATTCATGCAACTTTAATTTTTCCAAACCATGAAGCCTATCTAGCATACAACTTGATATATGAATCATAAAACTAGTTAGAATATTACCTCTTGTTGTAGCTTGTTGAATTTGGACTTTCAAGAGCTTAGCACCTTAAGTGTGACGCATCTAACAAGTCACAAACACCACCAACAATTGGAGGACAATGAGAGAGATCTTCTAGGCACCTAAAATCGACTATACTCTTGCTAGAATACTTGTGTGTTCGAATTTGGCCAAGGAGTTACATATATATAGTGTAGAGTTCCAAGAGTCATATGTAAGCCTAATTCTTACACTTAAGCTTATGATCCAATAGCCCATATGGACTAACTCTTCACAGACTCTCATATAAACTTATTCCATCATGGATCAATAGCCCAAACCATAGGTATCACTAATTTACATAATTAGTCCCCGTTAATTTTATTAGTCTCTTTTGATCGCTAAATTAATTCCAAATTAATTGTTGATCAATACTAATTAACTAATATGATTTCTCCATTAATATATTATATTATATACTTATAATATATTAATAAATCACAAATAACCTCTTTCTCAAATATCCATCTTATCAGATTTTTCCAGTGAAGGAAACCCAAAAGGACCATGCTACCATCAGGTTAAGTACATACCTATTATAGTTATGGTCTTAGACACCTAATCCAATATAAATAATGTTTTAGATTTTCATTTAATAATGAAATTGGTTCTATTAATGATTTTTATAATGGTATATTTTATTTTAAAGCATTGTCTTGGAATGGTATATGTGAAACTGTGATGGTTGTAGACAACTTAGGAAATAATGATCGAACATCGATTCGTCCAATAGTTTGGACAAGGCATACTTATGGCATTTTCATCTTGGACATGTCAACAAGAAGCACATAGCCCAACTCCAAAAGGATGGAGTCTTGGAGTCATTCGACTTAAAGTCGGATGACTCTTGCGAATCTTGTTTGCTTGGAAACATAACCAAGTCACCCTTCACTGTTACTTGTGAAAGGGGTAAGGGTCTGTTGGATCTCAAACACATTGATGTGTGTGGACCCTTCAGATCCGCCAAAAGGGATGCTAACCACTTCTATGTGACTTTTACAGATGATTACAACAGATATGACTATATCTACTTAATCAAGCATAAGTCAGAAACCTTTGAAAAGTTCAAAGAGTCTAAACAAGAAGTGGAGAATCAGCTGGGCAGGAAGATAAATATGCTCCGATCCGATCGAGGTGGTGAATATCTTAGTATCGAGTTCCACGACTATCTTAAGGAGTGTGGAATTTTTTCACAATTGATGCCACCTAGGACACCATAGCTTAATGGTGTGGCTGAGAGGTGTAATCAAACCTTCTTAGACATGGTTTTTTCCCTGATGATTCGAGCTTTGTTACCTACCTCATTATGAGGGTATGACTTAGAGACTGCCACCCATATCCTTAATCTAGTCTCAACTAAGAGAGTTGCCAAAACACCTCACGAGATGTAGACAGGGAGGGTTCCCTCGTTATCACATATCAAGGTTTGGGGTTGCAAGGCTTTCGTAAGACGAAAGACTCACGATAAGCTCGAACCTCGTAGTGAGCGATGTATTTTCATTAGCTACCTATAGAAATCCTTTGGATATCTCTTTTATAGACCGAGTGACAATGTTGTCTTCGTTGCGAGTAGAAGAGTTTTCTGTGAAATAGAACTGATATGCCGATAGGACAATTGGAGGCAAATTAACCTTGAAGAGCTTCAAGAGTTAAGTGATGAAGGAACCTAAACCATTAGCGCTCATCCTGAAGAGGAAACTCCTGTTGAATTAATTGACGAGTCCTTACCTATGAGATGTTCCAATAGAGTTAGTGTTCCAGATGTGTTATATGCTTTTCATATAACAACTAAAGGTGATACATTTATCAATGATAGTACACTGATAAATTTGGATGAACCTAATAACTACAAGGAAGCCATGGCAGGCCCCGAGTCTGCAAAATGGAAAGAGGCTATGGACAACGAGATTCGGTCCATGTATGACAATCAAGTTTGGAACTTGGTTGGTAATGTACCAGGTCGTAAGACGGTCAGTTGCAAATGGATCCTCAAGAAGAATATCGACATGGATGGGAAAGTATAAACATATAAGGCGCGATTGGTTGCAAAGGGCTTTACTCAAACTCATAAAGTTGACTATGATGAGTCATTCTCACCATTACTGAAGATTAAATCTATAAGGTTTATGCTATCCATAGCTGTATTTCATGATTATGAAATATGGCAAATGGATCTCAAAACTGCTTTCCTTAATGGAAAGTTGGCTGAAGATATTTACATGAGTCAACAGAGGGTTTTGTCAATGAAAAGCACCCTAATAGAGTGTATAAGCTTGTGAAACCCATTTATGGATAGAAACAAGTATCTCGTAGATGGAATCTTTGTTTCAATGATAAAGTGAAAGAGTTTGGATTTTCGAGAAGCGAGGATGAGTCCTGTGTATACGTCAAAGCTAGTGGGAGTATAGTTAGCTTTCTGGTGTTGTATGTGGATGACATACTTCTCATAGGAAATGACATCCCAACCTTGCAGGAGGTTAAGTACTGGCTTGGGAAGTGTTTCATTATGAAGGACCATGGGGAAGCTGCTTATATTATAGGGATAAGGATATAGAGAAACAGGAGTAAAAGACTAATAGGACTTAGTCAAAGTACCTACTTGGATGAAGTGTTGAAGTGTTTCAACATGTAGAATTCCAAGAAAGATGACTTACCTATCCAAAGGAATACCAAACTGAGTAAGACTCAGAGTCCGAGTACAGAGGCTGAGATAGTAGTGAGTCGAGTACCATATGCTTCCGCAATTAGTTCGATCATGTATGCTATGAATTGTACTCGCCCTGATGTGGCCTGTGTTTTGAGCATGGTCAGCAGATATCAAGGGAATCCTGGTAAAGCTCAAGAGTGATTGTGAGACGATAATATTGTATAGTCTTCAAACCAAGATATATGAGTTGTTGACTACAAGTTGGTTGTTCATTGATAGTACGGAAACACATCAGTAACTTGATGTTATAAAACGTGTTGTTGTGTATGATTTAATGAGTAGTTAGTACAAGCATATAAGTCGAAGTTTATATTTGGAAGATTAAAAGCGATATCTTGGACCCCTCGATGATTTTGTCTTGACTTATGTGTTGGGCCCGATCAGGACTCAATTGATGTGTTCAGTTAAGTTCTATTTCAAACAAATCGGAAATCCGGAAACAAACTGTTGGACAATAATTATGACTATGTTCAATGTATTTATCCGCATGATATCTTGAAGAATAGAGAATTATATGATCCCTTATCTAAAGGACGCGTCAGAGTTCGACAACGACTTTTGAGAGCCACGGTTGATAATCAGTTTTACTTATAGTTATTAGACTTATTCATGTGGTAGACTTTTGGATTAGGTGTCTAAGCCCATAACTATAATAGGTATGTACTTAACTTGATAGTAGCATGGTCCTTTTGGGTTGCCTTCACTAGAACAATCTGATAGGATGGAGATTTGAGAAAGAGGTTATTTGTGATTTATTAATATATTATAAGTATAATATATTAATGGAGAAATCATATTATTTAATTAGTATTGATCAAGAATTAATTTGGAATTAATTTAGTGATCAAAAGAGACTAAGGGGGAATGACTATGCAAATTAGTGATACATATGGTTTGGGCCATTGATCCATGATGGGCTAAGTTTATGTGAGAGTCTATGAAGAGTTAGTCCATATGGGTTATTGAATCATAAGCCAAATTGTAAGAATTAGGGTTACATATGACTCTTGGAATTCTACACTATATATATATATATATATATATATATATATATATATATATATATATATATATATATATATATATATATATGTATATATATATAAAAACTCTTGGCCAAAATCGGGCACACAAGTGATATAACTAGAGTATAGCCGATTTTAGGGTGTTCCTAACCTCTCTCTCAAGTCCTCTAATTGTTGGTGGTGTTTGTGACTTGTTAGAGGCATCACACTTGAGGTGCTAAGCTCTTGAAAGGACAAATTCAACAAGCTACAACAAGAGGTAATCTTCTAACTATTTTTTATGATCCATATATCAAGTTGTATGCTAGATAGGCTTCATGCTTTGGAAAAATGAAATTTACATGTATAACTAGAGAAAACTTAGATCCAAAGAATTAGGGTTGTATGTGCGCCACAGGGATGTTATAGTGCTCAAAACCCATCACTTGGGATAAGCACGGGAGTACAAAATTACTTGGGATAAGCACAAGTGTACATAAATACTTGGGATAGACACGACAGACACAACTTATTATTTCACATGGCTTTTACTAACCTATCATGACCACTAGCTAACACATCCCTAACACAACCTCTCGTTTATTATTTCACATAGCCCTTTACTACCCAATCATAATATTATGTATGATAATATATATATATATATATATATATATATATATATATATATAGTTTAATCAAGTAATAACTATATCAAGTTGCACGTGTGTGTGTCAGTGTATGTGTGTGTGTGTGTGTATATATATATATATATATATATATATATATATATATATATATATATATGTATGTATATATATTAAACACAGCAAAACAACACACATAAAATTTAAGCAATTAGAATATTTGTATCTATGTGTAAGTTTGAAAGTAACTATGCACTCACCTGACTTAGGTGAATGACTGGAGAATTCGGAAATGCTCCGCCAAACTCATTGAATTTTTTTCTAATGTGACCTAGTTACGAATGTCACTAAGTTTAGTCTAATACTAATGGCGACTAATAATTTTATAGATTCCTCACTAATCACAATGTCTACATCAAGATCTATCAAGTAAGGAACAAGCTGGTACGATCATATCGGAGGTAGAGTCTGTTTGATATACATAGTATACTATTTGGAAATCCCACTTTAGAGACATCACTAAATCCAGCCTAGATATCATCTCCGTAAGTAGATCAACCAGTATAATGACTTAGAATTACTGGTAAATCTTAATTATATGTTCATAATAACAACTATGACTATAATTAAAAGTACACTTGAATAAAATAAGTGTAGCTTAACTTGCACAATATATTGATGAAAACTGGGAATTAAGCGGGCAGAGCTCTGACTCGAGAGCTCTTAATTGCCAACCATCAGATATTGTAGGGCTTCGCCGACTAAAAACTTAAGGGACAAAGGGCATAGAATTTCGAGAAATCGAGAGAGAAATGTTTGAAGGGTGTGGGAACACCAATTTCTTTTACTTTCTTCTCATTTCCATTCATTTCTTTTCTTTACTCTCGTTAAGTTGAATCCGTGAACGGGATGTAATTATCATGGAGATGCCTAAAAAAATATACACAACCTATCATAATTACAAGTGGAAATTAGGGTACAGAGTATGGAAAGTTATAACAACCTTTGACAATAATATAAACTAAATTATTTAAATTGATGAGTGGGTGTTTTCTTAATACATAAACGTATACATATAGATGAGTATGATCGATAGAAGAAGAAGAAAAAGAAGAAGAAGGTTACATGAGAGGTTTATATAAATTTGTGTATGTGGTGGAGCAAACCCGAAATAAAAGGAAGGTATGGAGGAGAACGATAATCGGGGAAATGTTAGAGACAACTATAGATATGGAAAAAGGAAAAAGATGAAACTTGAAGGGAAGGTTGACGATGAAGAAGGGTATGGGTCTAGTTCCATTCATATTTAATTGTATACAAAGTTACAAACATTTAAAAAAAATAATCAAAAATATAATTAAGGATAAAATAGTTTTTTTTTTTTAACTTGAGTAGGAATCAAATTGAAATATAATCAACCTAGAGAATGGTCCGAATAAAAAACAAAATGTTAGGGATAAAATATGCAGATTGGGCCATGCTATAGGGACTATTAATGAAATTTACTTGATATAATCAACTTGTAATAATCGTCAAATTTGTAATTTCACGTTCGCACGCAAAAGCCTACCATCTTTTTCTATAAATTCCAATACGTTCTCCCTAAAATCTTAAAAATCATGCAAGTAATTTGTATGTAGTACATGCTGCTTGAAGCCTTATACCATTTTCTAGTAAAGATGGAATTCGCCTCCTTGCCCATCCACCGTCGCCTCCAAATCATCTTCTTTGCACTCCTATGTTCCACCTTCCTCCTCCACGCCACCGCCGCTTTATACCGCCAACCTATCACTACCGCAGTCCTGCACTTTCTCTCCACCCACCTTCTCTTAACCAGCATCACATCCCTATCCGCCGGCTTCCTCCTCCTCTTCCATCTTCGCTCCCGCCCTTACCCCGTCTTCCTCGTTAACTATTCCTGCTACCAACCGCCATCGCACCGGAAATGTACTTATGATATGGCAAATGATTTTATACTCCACGCTGCACGCTTCAGTTCGCCGGAACCGATCGAATTCATGCGTAATATATACTCGAAATCCGGGTTAGGAAACGACACATATGCACCGCCGTTTATGTTTGAAGAAAATCAAACTCCGACGACAAAAAGCGCCATAGAGGAAGCGAAGGAAGGGATATTCTCCGCCGTCGATTCCCTCTTATCAAAAACCCAAATACAGCCGGAGGAAATCGACGCGGTGATCGTTACCTGCGGATGTTTTTCACCCTCCCCTTCTCTTTCCTCTCTTATTATGAATCACTACAAACTCAAACCCGATGTGAAAACATATAATCTTAGCGGAATGGGGTGTAGCTCCGGCGTTATTTCTATTGATTTAGCTGCCCAAATCTTACGTGGGGGTGGCCGGAAAATCAAGAATGTTCTGGTTGTCATTACCGAGAATATTACGCTAAACTGGTACGAAGGTGAAGAAAGATCGATGTTGGTAACCAACTGCATCTTTCGCGTTGGCTGTGCGGCGGTGATGATTACCAACGACCCATCCCGCCGTTCATCGGCGAAAATGGAGCTTACCCACTCTCTCAGAACCCACCACGGGGCCGACGACTCCGCCTATCATGCTGCTTTCCAAGAGGAAGACGTCAAAGGCGTCACCGGAATTTCTCTCACCAAAGATTTAATACGAGTCGCCGGCGTAAACCTCCGGGAACACATCAAAATCCTTGCTCCAAGGGTTCTGCCTCTGAATCAGCTCGTGACTTACATGTACTCGGTGGTGGCGACGACTCTCTCCGGCGGGCAGTATAAGCCTGTGATGCCGGACTTTACGGCTGCGTTTGAGCATATCTGTGTGCATACAGGCGGGAAAGCAGTTATCGAGCAAGTTGGACGAGTCATGAAATTCAGTGACTCGGTGACTGAACCGGCCAGGATGACTTTGAACCGGTTCGGGAATACTTCGAGTAGCCTAGTGTTTTACGAGTTGGCTTATTTTGAAGCCAAAGGAAGGGTAAAAAAGGGAGACAAAATGTGGATGATAGCGTTTGGAACCGGGTTCAAGGTGGGAAGCTTAGTCTGGAAATGGATAAGGGATTCGGAATCTGAATACGATAATCCATGGAATGATTCCATAAACAAATACCCATTGAAAATTTGGTAGTAAAATTTGTTTTTGGGAATTCAGATTAAAAAAGTCTGAATAGTAATAATATGTCAAATTAATGTTAAAACATGAGATTTTTACAGTGATTATGTTCAAATATATAGGTTCAGTCGCGTATGCAAATGAATGTCATATTGGAGTATTGCATGGAAGATGAAATCTGATTCCTGTGATGAATTAAGTGTAATAATTTATATTTCTTATTTGTTGCTGATATATATAAGAAAGATGTTTGTGTTTTGTAATTCAGTTTATAATCAAGTTTAATGCATATATTGTAAAATATATTCATATGCCTTATTTGTATTGTTCTTGTTAAATGTGAGTTAAGATCCGAACATCCGAAATAAACCCGACACCGATTTTCAGTGGGACAAGTATTTGGAGTATCTGGGTCAGTCCATGTTCTAGTTAGGGTTTATGTTTGTATATATTTTGTAGCTAGGGTTTCAATTGTATTGTACTATCGTATTCAAGCTAGTGAATACATATACTTTCATCTGCTCTATAGACAAGGTTAAATATTATGTGTGTAGGATTTTCACATTTATTTCGGACGATTATTAATAGGGTTTTTATATTAGACGTATTATAACCCTTATAGAAGCTTAATTGTTGAGGTGCTGAAAATGGTAAAATGATAAGTTGGAATGTTATTTTACTCGAACCATATAATTTTGTTTTGTTAAATATGTAATTCACAAATTGTATGACAGGGGCACTCATGCAAACAACTCTAATGAGGCATTCTCCGTTTAATCTTTCTATTGCAATAAATTTCAATGGACTTTTATTGATTTGTTTATTATGCTTACACGGTTACACCAATAATATCATCGAGAACATGTTACAACATATATAGAGGATTGAAATATCTAGACCAGTTGTGAACGATCACGTGTAATGCTTTAGTCTTAAATGTTGAAGACTCATTTTAATATATTTTTCTTTGATAATTTATCATTTAAAACATCAATACTTCATAGTTGATAGTTACTCTGACAACGTAGAGAGATAAGATTTAACATGGCTATAGAAAGAAGCATGTAACATGTAAGTATCTTAGCGGGTCCCATTCATGTAGATGAATATTGACTATTCATGAAATGAACAAACAAGGTGTGGTCTTACACTTTTTCTATTCACATACGTTGAAAACTGAAAAGGGTTTGGTGTTGCTTTATTGGTTGGTTAGCAAGTGACATGATCTACATTAACCCCCTCACCAAATATGGATACGATTGCTTTTATTTCATGTGTTGAATCCTTGCTGTTACATCGTTTTTAGTGGTATCAATTTCTTGAGTGGGTCCTACAATAGAACTAGACCCAATGGTTGAAGTAAATAATCTTAACCAAAAGGTCTAGATGTCAAAACGCTATATTTACTTAAATGTTGTTTTTTCACGAGTTACCTGTTATATGATAAGGTTGACAAGGCTTACCTCTTTTTTATTCTTCAATGGAAGGTTTAAGTTTGACTTTTTTTTTTCTTTTTTCTTTTAAGCTTTCCCAAATCCCAAACACCCTCTTAGTTTATATGTAATTATGTATTTTAGTATTTATGTATGTATACATTGACTAAATCGAATATGTCAAATAGTAATATTATATTGTAAAGATTTGAACAATTTCTTTGGATCTAAAAATGATAAGGATTGGTCCCTACGATTTATCCTGATGCAGTTTTAGTAAATATAAATATGAATAAATATAAATATGAGTAAATATTATATTTTTGGTCCCTACGATTTATACTGATGCAGTTTTAGTCTAACTTTTCAATTTTTGCATGGTTCTTACGGTTTCCAAAAGTTGCATGTATGACAAGAGGGTTATCATCAATATGGCTCCATTAAATAGGTGTAAAATGATGAAAATGCAATTTTTTTTATCCTTTTCTATTTTTTTTTTGTCATTTTTAAACCTTAAGAGACCATTTGTGTAAAATTTAAAATAATAATAATAATAATAATAATAATAATAATAAACCCTCCTAAAAGCTTTCAACCCACACTCTCCCCCCTCGTTTCCATTCACCTTCTCATCGGTTCCCCCCCCCCCCCCCCCCCCTCTACACATTACCTACTCTACACTATCATAGGCGTCCATCATGACCATTCTCACTTGTTCTCCAACTTGTTATAATTCTCTCGTACTCTTAGTGGTTGTGTGAGTTTTTTCTGGTGATAATGAAGAAAGAAATAAGTTCTGCAATCCCTACCCCTTAGTTTGTGTTTTGGATGAGTCATTGCCTCCCTAGTTTTTCTTTAGATGAACAATACCAATGTTTTACAGACAAATTAATCCTAAAAATAGAAAACCCCGACATAGAACATAAACCAATTAATAGGTAATTAAGATTTTGTGATTAAATGTGTTTTGCAAGTGATAAAAAGGTGATTGCATGTTTTACATTTGAAATTAATTGTTGATTGTGTGTATCTTGTAGGTGATAAATAAGAATGTTTTTGAATACAAAATAGGATGTGAGAATTAGGAAGATGTGTGATGATTTCAAGTTTTAAACATACATATCAAATAAAGAGAAAGAGATTTGGATTTATTTCGTTTTCGTATAAAGACTGGTAGTAGGGAATAATGGTGGTTAGTAGTGGGGTACTTGGTGGGTGATGATGACGGTAGGTGGTGAGTGGTAGCATGAGTAAAGGTGGTCACATGTGGTGTAACATCCATAAAAATCATGCCAAATCTAAACTTTTTAAATCATTCAAAAATCAATAATTATTACAAATTTGTTTTCAAAATAGTGTAGTGTCAGAGCATCCAAGAATCAAATCATTAAAACATAAGGATGTGCACGATCATGTCTTCGTCTTCCGTAGATCATCAGAAGTACCTGAAACATAATCTAAAATTGTAAGCACGAAGTTTAGTGAGTTCCCCCAAAATACCAACATCATACAAACCGTATCAATATCATATAAACAAACAGCATGCATAATGAGCCATCGCCTGACTGGACCGCCTCGTAGGGACATCAGTATATCTGGACTGCTCTCCGAGCCATCGACACGTCTGGACCACCTTTCAGGGCCTTCAGCCTATCCGGACCACTCGCCGGGCCTTTGGCCTAACTAGTATGCCCTCCCGGGCCTGCAGTCTATTCGGTCCGCCCTAAGTATGTTGGCCTTCAGCACAAAGCAGGTCCGCCTCAACCTAACCCCCAAATCAAACAATCATGTGCACATAAATATCATACGCTGGCATGTATAACAGTCAAACTGATCTAACATATCACTAATCATAACATCATCCTATATACCATGATACCGACCTAACCGGACACTAACATAGCAATATCCTATATACCAGGATACCGACCTACCATGTCACTAAGCATATCACCACCTAACTACCAAGATGCAAATCAATAAGCATATCATGCAATAGACCCGGATACAAATTCGATAAGGGCCGGCATTGGTGCCTTCGACCTTGTTAGTATAATGAGGACAACTCACCTCACAAGTAGCTCGGGATGATAAATGTCAAACTCTTCAAATACAGCTCCAGACTCAATCACCTACATCCACCAATGATCCACTTTCATAAATCCTCGAATTACTAAAATACCCCCAGAAGTCAAACTGGTCAACCCTTGGTTAAAGTCAAAGTCAACGGTCAAGGTCAACAGTCCATGTTGACCAAACTAGTCGAGTGTTGCCCACTGACTCGTCGAGTCCTACCAAAACTCAAGAAATCGTGAAAACCCTAGTTGACTTGCCGAGTTTCTAGAAAACTCATCGAGTCCATGCGGTGTCCAAGTGTTGGGAAAAACTGTTGGATTAATGTCTAAGTCCATAACTATATTTGATATGTACTTGACCCGACCCAGCATGGTCCATTTAGGTCGCACTTCACCAACACAATTTATATGGATAGTCCTTTGAGAATAGTATATTTATGATTAATATTAATATATTATAAGTTCTAATATATTAATATGGAATCATATTATTTAATTAGTATTGATCAAGAATTAATTTAGAATTAATTAAGTGATCAAAATGAACTAATTAAATATAGACTCTTACATATATATATATGGAATGGGCCAAGTTCATTTAGGTTGGGCTAAGCTCATGGATAGTCCATGGAGTGTTTAACCCATGGATCATATGAAATGAAAGGTCATGGGTTTAACCCTAGTCTCCATACTATATAAAGATGTCATTGGTTGGTGAAATAGGCACTAGTGTGGGTACACTATGAAGGGCTAGCCAATTTCACTAGTGAGAACCAAGTATCCATATTCTCTAAAGTCTTCCAAGGTGTTTTGGTGATTTGTGATTCCACTTGAGGCTTCCACACTATTGGGGCTAAGCTCTTAAAGCTTGAAGACATCAAGCTACATCAAAAGGTATGTCATCTAACTAGTACTTTATAGTATAAGAACTTCATAATATGCTAGTTAGGATTAAAGCCTTGGAAAGTTCTTATTTGCATGTATAATAGAGAAAACATAGATCCAAGGTTTATAGGGTTGCATGTACACCATAGGAGTGTTAGAATGCTCAAAACCCAACAGTGGTATCAGAGCCTAGGCTTGTTTTCTTGTTATACTTGCAATAGAAGCTAAAAAAATCGAGTTTTGTTGCTGTCTGCCCAGCAGACTCGCCGGGTCCATGAAGGGACTCGCCGAGTCCAAGGCAAAATCGATCCAACTCACTGAGTTGGTTCGTGCACTCGACGAGTTGGACCCCCAGGCAGCATAAATTCAACTTTTTTGGCTGGAATTGCACTAGGAACATTACCCTAAGATGTTTTTGGACTTATAAACTTGATTTTGATGTGGTAATGTTCATGCTAATCCAATTTCAAAGATAATTGTCAATAGATTCATGTTTTGTATTAGTTTAAAGTTTGGACTAATTACATGAAAAAGTTTGATTTGAATTATCTTGTTCTTATGAGTTGCTTAGATTAATAGAAAAGTTAATTGAAATAGTTGTTTTCAATCCAAAGTAATTCAAGATTTGATTCTAAAATGTGTTTTTGTAACTTGTCCTCAAGTTATATGAAAATTCACATTTAAGTTTCATAAAACTCATAAAAGTTGGCAAAGGTTACAAAAATGAAGAGTCTTGTCTCATTGAATGGTT